AAAGAAGAACCTTCAGATTTTCCTAAGGCTGAGACTCAGTGTTATTCTCTGCATTCTCTTTGTGAAACTGAGTCACAGGCCAGTCCAGACTGCACATGGGAGGGCACTATACAAGGGCATAAACACCAGGATGCAGGACTTGTTAGGGGATAGTTTTGGAAACTGGATCCTACCATGATATGATCCTGGAAAGATACAGATCATCTATTAATAAATAGATAGGACTTGTACTAGTACTCAAATGTGGATGCTATGGCATTACACACACAGACCCACACAGTCAAGACACATAAATGCTGAGATAATCACCTTTACACACAGAAAAATGTGCACACATATAGCCTCACCTTTACCCATGTACTAATGCACACACACATGCACACACTGACATCCTACATTCTGTGCACTTTTATCCAACCTCTCAATTGTGTCACTTGTGGCCCTTGAATTGAGACAGGGATGACAAGGTATGTGATCAGTTTGCAGGTAGAAGAGCAAACACATTTTGCAAAGGACTCAACAATCAGAGGTTTTTCTGGGTTAGCTGGCCAACAAGATGAATTCCCATTGGGGTGCGTATACAGTGCCCATATAATTTATCTATAAAATGTGTTGCATTTAAGAGTAAAAAGGACACCAACTGAAAATGGAAGGTTGGAACATGGTCTCCCCAGATAGGTGTAAAGCCCTGAATATGGATTTCAAATATCAATTCCACAAGGACAGGGAGGCCAAGTGTAACAGCACCCACATCTGTGACATCCATTCAGGTACATGTTCTGGTTGAGATCCTCAAATTTAGTTTAAAAATTTATTTAAAAACCTACTCTGCCAGCCGTCCAAACATATGAATATTTGAGAAAATCTACACAACAGGTTCTCTCCAGAGAATACAACCTTGAACTCTCTGCTGCCCCTTCTTTATAGAAAACTTTATTGAGAGAAATGACATACGTGGTCAGATGCCAAAGGATGAATAATCCATCCATACTCTTAGCTGGTCTACCTCAGTGCAGTCCATCAGCAAGCAGAATATTAACTTGCACTGTTTGCTCCAGCCCACTTTTCTACCCTCTCTGTCTCTTACCCCTGAATTCCCTTTTAAAGCTTTGGTGCTAGGCCATTGGGATTTTCTCTTTAGCTTGCATTGGGCCATTATAAGAAACAGCTAGATGAGACCTGCCACTGCACTGAATGGAGGGATATGGTCTGGAAGTGGTCCACCATGATGTCTTACTTATGAATACCAATGGGAGAAATTTCCAGATTTCAGTATCTCACTATCAGAAAAGGCTGAGATGCTCCTAAACAATTAGTTTATTTAAAATTTACAGGCACTGTAAAATTTTTAACATTTTGGCTTCTCCTTTTTTCTTTGACTGCTGGGAAGTTAAGAGCTAAATTTGCAGCCCACCTCTAGCAACCATCCTGGACCACAGTGTTAATGTATTTCTGGGTATTTCAGGGTATGCAGGTCACTTTGCCCTAGGCATCATGAGCATTATAATAGATGCCCCAGTATTCATTCCAGCCATCATGATTAATCTAATCCAGCCATGGAAAGTACATTCTCCTTGTCCATGATTGGCTTGGGAGCAGGAGAGGGATCCAAATCTGGCCAATAAGAATTATAGAAGGAAAGTCTACTCAGAGCATCTGGGGAAAGTTTCCTTGCTCCTAAGAAGAGGTGGCCTTTGTTCTTCCTTTGGGCATCATGATGTCTGCATATAATCCCTAGAAGTGCTGCCACCCTAAAAATAAAAGGAAAAAATGATAACAGAGCAGAACAGAAGGAGCCTGTGTCCCTGGGCCATTGCCCTGGAATTCCTGTACTATAGTCTGAATGTTTGTCCCCCTCTGAAACTCTTGTTGAAACTTGATCCCCAATGCAACAGTATAGAGAGATGGAGGCTTTGGGAGGTGATTGGGTCCCTAGAGCCCTGCACTTATGAATGGATTAATCTGTTCATGGGTTAATGAATTAATAGGTTAATGAATTAATGGGTTATCATGGGAGTAAGTTATTATGAGAGTTATCATGAGTGGGCTATCATGGAGTTTTCACGAGAGTGGATCTATTATACAAGCCAGATTGGCTCTTTCTGGTGAGCCCCCTCACCATGTGATGCCCCGTACTTCCTTGGGACTCTGCGGAGAGTCCACATTAGCAAGAAGGCTTTCACCAGATGCAGCTGCCCAATCTTGGACTTCCCAGTCTCCAGAACCATGAGCCAAAATAAACTTATTTTCTTTTTCTTATTTTCTTTTCTATATTTCTTATTTTCTTTTCTATGTTTCTTTATAAATTACCCAGTCTCAGAGTTATAGCAACAAAAAATGGACTAAGACATCCTTATATATAATATAATAAAACAATAAATCAGTCAATTATTTAATACTTATAGCTAAAATCATCCTAACTGACACATGCTGGTTGTATTATCTATTCATCTCATTTTGTCTTTGAACTTGGCCTCTCAGCTAATTTTCTATTATTCTACATTTTAAATATTTTTATAAGAAACTTAAATTTTTATGTTGAATGAGAATAAAAGAAAAAAATGTACACAAATACATATTGATTAACAGCAAAAGACTGGGTGTTCCATGGATGTGAGTCAATGATTTGATCCAACTGCTGAAAGACTTAATATGGCCAGTAGCTACCCACATGGAGCTGTAGTTTATCACTCATTTATTGAGCACCCACTGTTTGCCAGGTATGTTCTAGGCACTGAGGCCACATCTGTGAACAAAGTGGATAAGTTCTCCCCTTTGGGGATAGATAATAAACATGTAACAAGAAACAAGATAATTTCAAATAGTGAAAGTTGCAATGAAAAAGAGCAGGTAAAGGGAGAGAGAAAGCTGGGATAATGTGGTTATTTAAATAGGGCAGACAAGGAAGGACCTTTTGAGGATAAGATGTTTGAACTTAAACATGAAAAAAGAAGAAGGACGCTATTAGACTTTCTGGATAAAGGACATTCTACGTGATGGGAAAAGCAAGTGCAAATGCCTTAAGGTGGGAACTAGTTTGATATGTGGTAACAGGGTTTTTCAAATGATGGGTTCACTGAAACCTAGGGCCTTGGGGACTGGCCTGGAGCCTGAGTCTGGCCTGGACCTGTAGTAGGCCTGCAGCCTGGATCCGTGGATGCTAGACCAGTAACTGGATGCCAGGCCTGTCCTGGAGCCCGGGACCATGATGGCCAGCCTGACACTCTGGCAGGCCTAGAGGCTGGGTCCATGGGGCCCAGCCCAACACCAGAATCTACTGTAGCAGACCTGGGCCCCTGGGACTGCTGGAGAGTGGGACTGCTGGGGCTGGCCAGGCATTGGGTGAAGCTAATGTCCAGGGGGCTAGCCTGGTGCCTGGGGCTGCAGAGGCCAACCTGGAACTAGGGTCCACAGATACAGACCTGGTGCTGGGCCTAGAAGAAGGACTTGCAAGTGAGAGCAGCATTTTTTTAATGAAATAAAATAGAACAGAATAGATTAAAATACCAGGGTATATTTTGCCCAGTAAAGATTAATATATTGTTTTGTGACATTTTTGTTTGAGTTGTATATAGGAGTAGTTAACTGGGTAGAATATAAAATGAATTTCTTACTATGAATTGTAGTTGAAAAAGAAAAAGAAACTCACTGTGCAAGAAGAACGGAGGAAAGCCAGTGGCTGGAACACGGTAAGCTACAGGGAGAATCACGGAGCTGAGAGTTCTGCAGGAGGAAAAGATCTAGACCAAGATGAATGGCCAGAGCGGTGGGAGGAGAGGCAACGTGGGCGAGAGTGGAATCGTGGGAGCTAGAGAGTAGGGGCAAGTTGCATGCTGTCTCTGAGACATGTGTCGTCTCAGTATTACTGGAACAATAATAGACACTTTGCAAGAAGCGATAGCATAGAGAAAGGGCTCCTATGTGTGTGTGCACAGTGCCATGCACACCCGTTGCCCATGTCATACCAGTGCCTTCATGGGGCCATGGACATCAGGGGCAAGTGTATGTACAGCACACAAGACACCCCAGAGCTCAGAGCGGGGGTGAGCAGGCAACACAGCTTGTCCACCCACCCCCACAAAGAAGGAAGCCTTTACTTCCTAACCTGGCCAGGCAGGTAGCTGAAGTCACGGCCTTCCCCTACACACACACCCACACTAACACTAACTCCAGGATCAAGCCCACTCCTCTGCCTGGTATCTGAGCTCTTCCCAGTTGGGTGGGGGCACGGCCTGACAACATTGCATCATGACTAAGAGCAGCTCTGAGTCATCAGCCATGTCTTCCCAGCTGTAAAGCCTGACCTCCAGAGTTCCCATCCCTACAAGGCAGAGATAATCATCTCGGGGTTGGGGCGGGGTGATGAGCAAATGAGACAGCGTGAATAAGACTCTAGGCGCTAGGCGCAGAGCCAGGTAGTAAGCTCTGAATAAACACATTTGAATGTTCTGCTCCTTTGATCCCTCCCTCCATTTACCCTCGGCTCCTCCTAAACCAGCCTCTCACCCTCACCCAAGCCCACAGAGGCTCCTAGAAGTGCCACCACTTTGCTCCTGCCTGGCCCTCTTTGGTGGGGCTGTCCGTCCTCCCACTTTCCTGCCCAGCCAACTCCTACTCATCCATCCCTGACTCCTGGGGCAAGATCAGCGTGTCTCTCTAGGTTGCTCTACAAACACAGTGCTTATCACCCCACTATAGAGCACTTCGACATAGTGTTTTCAGTAATTATACATTACACCACTCCACCCCAAAACTAGATTCTTTGAGGGCAAGAGCAGCATCTGTTACTCATCTCTGTACTGTCAGTGCCTCACACAAGAGGCATCAGAAGATGCACAGTGAAAGCACATGACTGGGGTGGGGGGAGACACACAAAAAAACGAGGGGGCAGTGAGCAACATTCCCGTCCACTGCAGCCGGGTCCCCCCCCCCCGGGATATCTCAGGCTGGCACAAAACCCAAGCGACCACTCACGTGAACAGTAACATAGCAGAGCTCACCTGCGCTGGCGAGAAGCAGTGGACTCAGGAAGCTGGGGTGCAGAATTGTAAGCATCCCTTGGGGCCAGAGAAAACCACCCAGGAAGAGCCAGGCTTCTCACAAACCTGCAAGAAGCCTCAATGAGAGAAAATGATTTAATTATCAGAATGTCACCAAACAAATTGTACGCCTCATTTTTGGGTACTTAATGCTTATGGTAATTAACATTACGAAGATTTTTCTTCTCTCTTCTGTTTATATTTAGTTTAGCCATTCACAATAGAGCTAAAATTATTTCAACTAATTTTGGGCGCTCTCCCTGCATTGCCCCTGCGTTTCTTCCCCAGCGCCGCTACCCAAACGCAAGCTTTAACTTCAGAGACAGCCAAGAGCAGGACAAATTGGAATCAATGCTGCCTTTGTCTTCACTAATAAGTGGCTGCCACGCAGAGGAGTGTGGAACTGCTAATTGGCTGATCTCAACAGGGAAGAGACAATGGTGGCGAGAATGCTGGGGGGATTAATTATAGGGCCGCCTTCTGCGAGCCTGGCTTCCGCTGCTCCTGGCTTGCCACGCAACAAGGGTGGCCCTCTCCACCCATCTTTAGAAACAACAAACTTTCCAGCTGGGATTCTCCTGCACTGGGGGTGCAGACCCCACACGCAGCACACGCAAAGGTCTGGGGGAGAGGAAGGCGGAGGAGTGGGCAGGGCCGCTCCCAAGGGGAAGGACCAGAGTGTGCGTGTGTGTATGCGTGTGTGTGTGCGTGCGTGTGCGTGTGTGTGTGTGTGTGTGTGAGTGTGTGTGTGTGTGTTGGGGGGAGGAGGGAGACGAGGAGGCACTTCCTGGGATGGAGGAGTCTGGGCCCCACCATCCCTCAACATGTAAAGAAACAGCCCCAAACAGTGAGAGCTGTGACCACGGTAGGTGAGGTTAGCTCCTAAAGGGAAGCAACAGTGCCCGTGCTGAAGCGGCCAAGCTAAGAGTGAGGACTCCTCTGAACCTGAACTTGAACTCAGCTTCCATTTCCAGAGCCTGTACTCTTTGCACAGCTCTCGAAAGCTTTCCTTTCCCCGTTAGTCTGTGGCCTATGAAACCTCTTTTCATTGTCTTTGGGGTAAAGGCATTACTTCCTAAAAGTCATTGGTAAAATGCAAATATATCCACCAAGCAGAGGAGCCCCTGCGTCCCTGGCCCGGATTCGCTGCTTAAATCAGGCACCCGACACCCGGGAGAGGAGGTCCTTCAGCCAGCGAGACAGGCGGGCTTGGAGGAGGGGAAGGGAAACTGCAGGGCCAGATGGAACTCGGCGGTTGTCTTTTGGACAGGACAGGAAAGCTCAAAGCGGTGGCATCTGGAAGGAAAAAAGCACAGGGATTGCACCAAAGGCAACCTGGGCCAAGTCCAATTGTCCCAAATCAAATTTGGTGTTTTCTTCCCAAAAGCCAGGCTCTCTGCTGGATGCCACCTCTCTGCTGCTCCACCCCGAAGCCTGCGACACTCCTCGCCCCGCAGCCAGTCCGTCAACTCTGCCTCCTTCGAAGCTGCCTCTCCCCCAGCCCTCCAGCCCCCATCAATTTATGTGTGGTTTGCCATTTGCTCCATGTCAAAGCAAAATGGCACCAGGCTCTTTTTTAAAATGGGAAGACGTTTTATTTGGGCTGCTGCCATAGGGGAGAGAGACTTCATGTAGGCCTGAGCTTATCTCCAACCACAGCAGGGGAAACCAGTAGCTACCGGCTGGCTGAGGGAGTCAGCAGGTGGGAAGGGGAACTTGGTTAGGAACAACCAAGGGGAGGGGATTCTTGCTAACCTGGGTTCTGCCGGCCAAGGGTGAGGCCTGGTTGAGAAGAGGGCTCAGGAGAGCCTGACTAGAGTTAGGTCAGGGAGAGGGTGTCTGTCACCCACCTCTGGGCCCTCTGCCTCCAGGCTCACCCCTCTGGTCCACCCTCCATGCACTGTCAGAATTATCTACCCCAAATTCAGTGTTGATCCCATCACTTTACTGCTCTAAAATCTACACACATGCACGCACACACCCACACACACACTCACACACACACACCATCCTTGGGATAGTCTATGAATTCCCAGTGTGATGGACAACATAAGATCATTCAGAGATAACCAGAAGGTCTTGGGAAAACCTGACCCAGGAGGAAGAGAACTTGTCTAGTCCATTTCCTGTTGCTTAGAGTACCTGAAACTGGGTAATGTATAAAGAAATGGAATTTATTTCTTATGGTTCTAGAGGCTGAGAAGTCCAAGGTCAAGGGCCTGGCGAGGACTCTGCAGAGTCCCCAGGCAGCGCGGGGCACCGCATGGTGAGGGCTGAGTGTGCTAGCCCAGGTCTCTCTTCCCCTTCCTATAAAGCCACGAGTCCCACTCCCTTGACAGCCCACGGACCATGAATCCACAACTGGATTAGTCCATCCGGGAGGGCTGGGTCCTCATGAGCCAATCAGTCCTTAAAGGCCCCTCCTCTCAACACTGCCGCCGTGGGATTAAGTTTCAGCATGAGGTTTTGCGGGGACACACATTCCAGCCACGGCAGAACTCTGTGGTGTTCGCTCCTGATTCTACTTGAGTCCTGAACCAGAGGAGCCGAGCACACCAAAACCAAACCTTCCCTGGCTGTGATTTCCCAGCGCTCCGACAAGACGCTCTAGCGTTTCCAAAACTCTTTCCTGGGCTTCGTCTCCTTGGGTGTCCTGCCCTCCCGAGCGACAGGCAGCGTCACCACCGTCTCCCAGAGGGAGGTCAGGATGACGGCGGTCAGCTGATTCGCTCAGGCCACACAGCTAAGTGGGCTCGGCCAGCATCCAAACCCAGGCTTTGGGGCAACACAAGGTGTGATTGTCCCTTTCCCCTCCCAGATGGTGAGCTCTGTGAGGAGAAGTGCCATGTCCCTTAGGTTTGTCCCTTTGTCCCCACACATGGAATGAGAAATAAAGACAAAACGATCCTAAGCTTCCAGCCAACTGAACGGATCCCCTCTTGGCCAAGGGGACCGCAGAGAAACCTGAAAACCGAGTTCCTGGCCATGACGGGCTGGGAGGTCAGACGCGACCTCCCTCGCTAACTGCAATTGGGCTCTCTTTCCCGAGGGTTAAACAGAAACCAACCCTTTGGAAAGACTTGGATCTCCGCTGATTTCAACCAATTTTATGACCGCCCCTCCCTTTTTGTGGTTTGGACACAATCACCAACCAGCACTCCTTCCTGATAAAAGACCTCCAACCCCAGGCTGGTTCTGGCCGGGCTACAGAGGCTGCGCACAGAGGGCTTGGTGTCCTCCGCCTCATCTTTTTATGTGTCGCCCCGAACTGTAATGCATTTAAACATCAAGTCTCCTCGCCAAAGTGAATACGGGATGCATGGTGCATGCATGTCACCTGCTATGCACGCACGCACCGCCCTTCATGAACATTCACAGCTCCTCCTAAAATCTGCTGAATGTGTACACTTGCCTACCTACTCCGCATAATTCCTGTTCTCTCTATTGCTCTCCCGAAGTGCCTGTCTCTGGTCTTTGCCAGAGGCTACACTTGCCAGCTGCAAGACGGCCACCTTTCAGGCTGCAACCCTTTATTAGAAATAAAACTCTCCTTTCCAAATTTATGAACCTCATGATTCTTCCATTGACAGGAATACTCAAAAGAAAAGGCAGTGAAATCAGTACCATTTGTTGAGGACTTGCCTTGTGCTGTTACCACGCTGAGTGGTTAAATGGTCACACTCGGCCTCATGCTCAAAGCTGCAACATTATATTTAATCCCATTTTACAGATGTAGAAATCGAGGCCCGAAGCAGTTGAGCAACTCACACAAGGTGGCACAGTTCATAAAGTGGTAGAGCAGGGATTTTCACCTATGTCTGCCTGGCTGTAAAGCCCAGAATTTCAATCTGTATCTATCTTGCTGCATAACTGCCACGTGAATAAGTGAGTGAATGAATGAAGGACTTCAGTTCTCAAGCACTTTCCAGCATGCTGTGCTTTTATCCAAATAACCACCTCCTCGCTTTCCTCCACAACCTGACCTGGGGGCTCAGCTGAATGTAGACACTTGGCAACCAAAATAGAATTCCCAAATATTAATGCTCACAGCTAATATTCGTTGGTAAAGATAATTTCAATGTTTTAAGATATTAACGTTCGTTTGACTGGTCTCCTCTCTAAGCACTTCTGAGTAAACACATCTATCTTGGGCTGATTGATTTTCGTAATTGCGCTATTATAACCTAAACTAGGACATTCTGAGTCACATATTCAAAAGGAGAAATGGTTGCGGGTATATATGTGTGAGTGTGTGTTAATATTTTTTTTTAAGTTTCCTTTTGTGCTCAACTAGAGAGAAATATTTGAAATTCAAATAATGAGGTATTCATAGTGAGTTTGCTTTCCTTATGCCCAGGGTAAAAATAAAATAAAATGCTAGACCTTTTTTCTTCCCCCATTATATGGTGCTGACTTTCCTTTCTCATTATGTTTACCTCCAAAATTTGAATGAGAGTAAAATTTGAAGGAATTACCACAATTCTTTAGTACATTTGCAAATCAATTAAGAGGAGCCAAATTATGCTCCTGCTTTTTTGCAGGGAGCCAGTCTTCCCCAGCTCACGGAACACGGCAGCCCACAGCTGCCTGGCACACAAAGAACAGCTGTCACGTCGAGGACGAGGCTTGGCATTTCAGCGCTCGCCCCCAGCAGCCACTGCCACCCGCTGAACCAGCCTCTCGCCGGGCAGCTCCACTTACCTGCTGGGAGCTGGGTCACCCGTGGGGTTAATGGTGCCGGCGAAGCTCACTGTTTTCGGAGTCAGACAGATGCCTGGCTGTGCAGTCCCCACTCTGCCACCTCCTTGCTGTGTGGCCTTGAGCAAATCACTTCACCTCTCTGAGCCTCACTTTCGCTGGCTGCCAAGTGGAAACAATAATGCCCGCCCAAGGTTGTCCTGAGACTGTGGTGAAGGGATCAGTCTAGAAGAATGCCCCCTCCTGCCCCGCCCACTGTGGGCTCAGCTGGCGGGGGTTCCTTTCTTCCCCTCATTGAGGGTCCTCAAGACACCGGCTTGTCTGGGGAGGGGAGGGCTGGAGGCTTTCCCTCTACACTGGATCCGTCGCCACCC